GGCGTAGTTGGCCCAGAGTTGATGGAAGGGTCCGACAGCCTTCTTCGGTTGTATCGTGGCGATGGCGGCTGTGTATGTCTGCACGACTTCGAGATGGTTGTCGCCCCAGAGAGCTACTCTTTTCTCCCATTCCGACACGTTGTTGGGGTTTTGTCGCAGGACTACGTCGTTGAGAAGGAATGGCCGTCTGTCCATGAGCTGTTCGAACCGCATCATCCGTATGTCGAGTTCGAAATCTGCCTCCTCGTCCACAATACCGTTGTCGGCGCGTTCCGATGCCACCTCCATGAGAGCTCCAATGATGGACTCTTCAAACTCGGTATAAGAATCGAAAACAAGCGTGAAGTCCCTGACCGTCATGACCGTAGTGATAGCTTCCTCGAGCACATCTCTAGCGCGCTCAAAGCTGCCTCGTCGGATCCAGTAAGTCGCCAGGCCGCACCATAGTTTCCCTCGTTGATCGGCGAACCGGACAATGCCGCTCCTGACGATCCTGTCAACGTCAATCCCCGTTTCGTGGCCGGTCTCGATCTCCGCCGCGTGTTCGACCATCAAATCCACCATTTCGCTCCACAGTTCATAGTGCCCTTTCCCTTGCTTGCTAGTGAAACGCGGGTTGTTGAGAAGGTCCATGTACTTCTTGATGGCTTCGGTGTAGAAGCCGACCTGCACAAGGAGCTCGATAAAATCTTCGGCGTCCTCGGGGTGTATTTGCATGTAGCGGCGCCACACCTTGACGGCGCTGATTCCTGCGGCGGAGTTGATGAATGGCTTGTAGAGGGCCCAGATTCGGTTGTGCTGGGTAAGCGGAAGGGCGCGAAGGGCTCGATCGAAGGTGCGTCGGGTGGTCGTAACCAGCGGCTGCTGAACCAAGAACTTCAGGTACAGCTCCCAGATGCGAGGCATCTTGTTCAGTAGAATGAGCGCGCGCTCGAACAAGGCATTGACCTTTCGGTACTCGGCGGGGAAAACGGCAGCATTTAGCTTCGAAACGTGTTTGGTGCGAAAGGCAAGATACTACGTGTATAGTTAGCAATCACCGGCGGCAGTCCGGCTAGCTGGAGGGCTCGTCGCAACATACCATCTTCCATAGCTTGTAAGACCGTGGGAGTTGAAGACAAGCTCGCTCGAGCACGAAAGCGCGTTCGTGTACGGTTCCATGTTGAGACTTGAACTGAATGTAGGCAAGCCACGGCTTGATGCTTCCAGGGTTTCGCAGGATGTCCTGTTCGTATACCGAGTCCTCATGGCTCTGTCGCAAACCGTTAGCTTCTATGCTCAATGTTGATAGGACGCAGGGGGCAGTTAGGAGAATAGGCAGCGCATACAACGAGGTGTAGTTCCGGCCGCCTCTGAGAGCCGGTGAGAGGCGTGGTAGCAGGCATCTTGGTTCAGGCCGTTTGCCCAAAGGCCATGGGTAACCAAGAGACTGGCAACTCGAGCGCGGAGAGCGCTATTTCGCCGTGTGCAGGTCGCGTCGGGGACGAATTTGCAGCTTCCAGGGGCGCGATTTCAAAAAATGATCATGGCGTGAACTAGGCGACAGATCGTTCCTTTACGATACAGTCTGGCAAGGTTGACCAATTGACCCAGGTACTTTTTCTTGCATGCGCCCCATCCTGGATTTTTGAGATGGCGCTCGGGTATTGGAATAAGTTGGGCGGAAGTCCCAGCCACCGATACAAGGATATCGCAATGTACCTTTCGAATACTAACCGACCTAAGGCACCTCGTTGTAGCGCCGCTTTAGCTTCTGCGAGTCTCTTGCGCGCGGATAAGGGGAGCCCACCTTCGAGCTTTATCAGTGGGCTGCTAATCGCCAGCGATCCACCTGCACCAGGTACCCGACTCCATCTCTGGGGGGAACCGCTTGAGGTAGGTACTTCCACCTAAGCGTCCCATCGCTCAGCCGGCTCTGAGCACTGACGCAACAGCAGCCAAAAGCCGCCTAACAACATCGACAGCTCCTCCTTGTCGTCTCTATCGTGAACGACCGTCTCTTGCGCCCATTTGCCTCCGCCCTTCGTTGCCGTGCGGATCGTCTCGAACCTCCCCTCCGATCTCTCTTCGATTACGACTCCACCTATATCATCTCCCATCTCGACCAGTCAACACCATGTCGGGTGCTCCTGTAGGCCGATGCCCTCCTGCATTGCTCAGATTCGACCTCGGAGCTTTCTAATACGTCGATGCATTTGTGTAGGACCGAGAGGCGGTGTTTCCCACGCGCCAGTCGCTGGGAATCATGAAGGCAAAGCTCAAGGGAGCCGAAACGGGCCACAGTCTGTTGAAAAGAAAGAGCGAGGCCTTGACCAAGTACGTATTCAACGGCCTGGATCTCGCAGTATGACTTGGTTTACTGACTTGTTCCCGCGATACAGGCGATTCCGAGGTTCGCAGTGCCGCTTTCAGTTCGAGACGAACATGCGCTGACCGGTGTGACTGCGCCCTGACAGAGATTACAAGACGTATCGATGAGGCGAAGAGAAAGATGGGACGCGTGATGCAGATTGCCTCCTTCTCCTTGGCCGAGGTCACTTACGCCGTGGGTGGTGATATCGGATACCAGATCCAGGAGTCGGCCCGGTCAGCTCGCTTCCGTGTGCGTACTAAGCAGGAGAACGTTTCTGGTGTTTTGCTCCCGGCCTTCGAGAGCTACGTAACTGAAGGAAACAACGATTTCGGCCTCACGGGTTTGGGCAAGGGTGGTCAGCAGGTCCAGCGTTGTCGCGAGACATATGCCCGTGCTGTCGAAGCTCTGGTCGAGCTTGCCAGTCTCCAGGTAGGCCGTCGTCAGCTGCATCTCTCGTGAACACTGCAGAAGCGCTAACATGGCCAAGACTGCTTTCGTTATTTTGGATGAGGTTATCAAGGTCGTCAATCGACGTGGTATGTATTCAAGTCCATATGTACTCTCGGCCATTGACTAACATCTTTTAGTAAACGCCATGTAAGACGCATACGAGATCATCTTGGTGATATCCCACTGACTATTCCACCAGCGAGCACGTTATCATTCCCAGGACAGAGAACACCATCAAGTGTATGTTGTCTATCTGACTTGGGTAGACCTATCTGACTTTGACTACAGACATTAACTCGGAATTGGACGAACTGGACAGAGAGGAGTTTTACAGACTCAAAAAGGTACGTAAAGAGCCAGCCATTGGACTAGATGACGGTGTCTAACGGTATACCTCAGGTTGCGGGAAAGAAACAGAGAGACACTGCTGCCGCAGACGCCGAGATTAAGGCCAAAAAGGCTGCGCGGGCAGCAGAAGAGCAGGGGGATACGTCAGGCCCCGGCGACCTTCTCGCCGCGGAGGAAGACAACGACGTTATTTTCTAAGAAGTCCTTGTGGCACGGACTGAGAGGAGGCGATCAAGCATGTGTCGTGGTGCTGTTAGACTAGCCTTGCGTGGGTATGCACTCGTTGTAAACATTAGTACCATCCATCCCTGAACACATTTACCCCCCCTACACGCTAACATGATTGAGATGTATGCGGATAGTGCCGCCTTCATTTCCATCAGCCGCCTTACTGGCGCTGGTACGTGACCTTGATTGTGTGCGTGTCCCCCAGCACCATGCCAGCCGTATTCTCCTTGGCCGTAATAGCACCCTGTTCGCCCTCGTACTCTACGAAGGCAATACCACGGCGTCCAGGCACTAATCTCACCTCGCGGAAACCTTCAAAGCGGCCAAAGATACTGGTGACAGCCTCGATGTCGTAGTCGTCGGGCAAGTTCTGCACGAAGAGGATCTTGTTCGGGGGCAGATATTCGTCGGGAATAACAGCTGTAGTGGAGGGGTTGGTAGACTTGAGACCAGTTCCACGCGCAGCCTTGGCGGGGCGGGCATCTGTTGCCGCCGCGCCGCCGGGGCCGGGTCTCTTGAGGCGCTTCTGCTCTTCGGCAGCCTCGAAAGCCTTCTTCTTGTCTGTAGGGAAACGTCAGCAAGCGTTCTGTGTCTGGGTGGAGAGGAAAGGCAGAGTAGACGGGAAAATAGAAGTACCCTTCTCGGCTAAGCGGCGGCGCTTGTGAAGCTCAAACTCGTCATCGTTGCCAACTGACTTGACGGTCGCGTCGCTCCTGGTCCGGGCCTGGGCCAACTGCATGGGCTTCTCAAACAGCTCGAATCCCTGAACCTCCTCTATGGCCTTGCGCGCAGCCTCGGGATCGTCAAAGACGACGAAAGCCTGCCCCTTTGCCTTGAGGTTCGTCTTTGCGACAATGTCAATTACATTACCGTAGTCGGAGAAGATCTGATGCAGCGCCTCCTTCAGCTGGTCGACTTTGGCGCGCTCCTCGAGGTTTCGCACGTATACCCTGTGGCACAAAAGGTCAGCCAATGGCCCGACGTGTCGAAGTGCAATGACACGCACGTGGCTACAGGAAGACCGGAAGCCATGTCTACGATTTTGTAGGCGAGTTCCAAGCAAAAGTGAGTGGGAAGATAAGGGAGGTGCAAATGTTCAAGTCGAGCGACAGACTGGGTTTAAGCATTGAGTGTTGCGATAAGTTTCTACTGGCCTAAGGCGAAGAGGAACAGCTCGGCGCGTAACCGGGTACCTTGGGCACGGGCCACCTAGGTCCCTTACGGTGACCGGTGCAATGGGAATGGAACCGTCTGCCTTCCAACCTCACATTCAACATCAAACCATCAATCAGTTGGCGGTTGGAATTCTCAACCGATGTATTACCCTGCAGGAACCACCTTTTCAAGTCCTTTTGCGGTCGATGTTATGGCGGATGGCGGCGAGGTAGTACCTAAGCCAACTTCCATCACGCCGTCCGCCAAAAGGATTTTGCCTAGGTCCACCATATCTTCCTTCGAAGTTGCCATCCGCTTCACTACCTTCACAATCGCTCTGTGGATTTTTACCATCCCAAAGCTGATCTGACAAGTGACAAAGCCCGTCTCTTGGGCCGTAAGCATGCATACTCTTTGTGTGTTCCAAATAGCGAAGGTTGTATTTTTCATTCTTGAAGATATACTGTCTCGATGCCTTCACACTCATGGTCCGTCTACTAATCGTCATAATCATCATCCTTGCCCTCGTATTCCGCTGCTTGCGAGTTCCGCGCGGCTGCTTCGTCGAAGTCATCGAAGTCATCGACATCATTACCATCCTCCTCCAAAAGCTGTGCCTGTTGCTCATCATATGTGCGAGTTCTTGCACCACGAACTTCCATTTCCTCCTTATAGCCTTTATAGCCCTCCTCGTAGGTAGGTTGTGGTAGAGGCGCATGCCTTCTCGGCATTCCCTGTATCAAATTTCCACGAACTGAAGCGGGGGCCCGATCCGAGGGTCGCATCTGGGTACTTGAGAGAGCTTCACGTACTCGCAGCCCGCCGCTCTGTCCTGTTCCAACACCCCTCTCGAGCTGCTCTTGAGCGTCTCCCTCCCCTCTCACCTTGGATGTCGTATTTCTAGCAGAATGAGGGGACGAGTATTGAGACGACGCCTATCCCGGGTTAGGCATCTATCTGCCTCTTCTGGTACGAACTTGTCGTAGACCTCCGATCGTACGCAGAAGCCGGCACGACAGGGGCACCAAAGTATGTGTATCCCCGCTTCCTCGGTGTCAGGTCCTCGTTGCGTATTTCATCAGCACGGATGGCTTCTAGCCTTGCTTGGTCCGCATCCATTATTGCCTTCGTATGGTCCATGTAATTCCCAAAGCGCTCGATCGCCTCGCCAACCTTGTCAAACTGTACATCGTCAAGCACAGGGCATTATGTCTGAGCCGAGGCGACGTTGGGGTCGCTGAAACAGCTTTTGCGAATATTATAATGTGATAATGAGGAAGCAATTTAAAAAGCGTTGCGAATTTGCCGACCATTCCAACAAATATGAGGAGGCTCTGCATGCTCATCAAAGTAACGCTGGGCGTATACGATGATACTCTTGGCTTTGATGCGGAGTTTTGGATGCTTGATTCCCGTTTCTTGGAGCTGGTGTTGTTTTTCATCCTCTATCGCCCTTGGCTTTTTGACGTTGACGCGGAAGATTTCGACTGTCTGATATCTAGACAGTGGCTCATAGTATACACTGATGTGTATCCGAGACTTGAAAGCTTCGTCCAGTGTGCCTGCCTGTTAGTTGTCAGGAACAAGATGTCGCTATAGTATTCAAGAACCCGGAGAAAGACTGCAACAGGCAGATGTTAGTCGTTCTGATTGTGCCAGCGAGAAGTAGATAGCTGTTTTCCCCCAGCACTCAGTAGAGACAAGAGCACTCTCATCAGGTTAAAAGTCTCTCTCCTCGCGAAAAAAATATATCGGCTTCATCAAGAAGCAGAACAAAACTTTCAGCTTCGTGTCCACTGCTTCCGGGGTGAGGCCCAGATCTCCGCAGGTGATGGTGAACAATGGTTTGTCGTTACTTTAAGCTACGGCCTCAGCGGTTGCCGTCTCCCCCACGTCAGGAACACTGAGGAGGAGCATGAAAAGGCCGGATCCTTTATTGCGAACAATGTCTTGATTCATGGCGCCAAAGACAGGCCATTGGCGCTGAGCCCGACGCTTCTCGAAGTGATCAGCTCCAAAGGCATTTATTTTCAGGGGGAACCTAGCGTCTACCGAGCGGCAGGATATCTATATGAATCTACAGTAGACGCTATCCAAGAGCTCTTGTCGCATGTCATGACTCGGAAGCATATGAGTTGTAAGTGGTGCCCACCTATCACAAGGCACCTGTGTATGGTAAGCGCCTAATGCCTCCTTTGCTCCGGACAGGGTCTTTGAGATCGAAGAGAGACAAGCAAGTGAGAGACCCGCAATCCATCTTGAGGAGTGTCACCGAAGCCGCAAACAACTTTTCCCAGGGAATTATAAATTGTCGAGACGCCGTGGTCAAGGAGATTTAGAGAGATACGAAGAAATCGTTGAAGGAGGTCCACTTCATTAGGTGGAACACCGCCGAAATCAAACACACCGTCTCCAAAGTCAAGATGGACGAGGAGGAGCATATTTGATGCCCCAACAAGTGCAGAGCACGCAGCAATTTATTCTTACACTCGCTCAGAGCAGAGATGAAGCCAAATTGATGTTAGTTGACAGTTTCCGTGAGCAGCAGAAGAGTGCGTACCCCTTTTCGAAGCAAACCAACGTAAGACGGCTGAAATTGTGTCAACAGAGGTCCAGATTAGTAATACCGGAATCGAATGGCTCATTGAGAAGCAGGAAACAGAATCGGTCATCGTACCAAAGTCATCAGTGCAACAAGAAGCTTCCAGAGCGGTGATTTCACTAAACCGTCTCGTCAAGATCCTAAGCGCCCTGTTCCCGGACCGTATACCAGCCCAGAATACGGCCATTGATCTCAACGTGCTGGTCTTGAGACAAAGAAACCTGCAACATATTCTCCAGAACACTCCCCAGTTCGACCCCAGAGCCGAAAGCCGGGCGCACACCGCCCTCAACGAAGACAGGTTCTTTGAATGGATGCAGCAGGACCATCCCGACATGCTCCTGGTTGATGGGGGCATACCGGGTCGGCCCAGGATGCAATCTCCCCGATGTCCCTTCTCTGTGCCAACTTGAGTCTCGTTCCGGGTGAACACGAGCCAAACAGCATCTTCGCCATGTTCTACTGCGAACTGCATACCAGGCCGTATAATGACGACTGGTACGGACCGTCCGGGATGATCCGGTCTCTTATAGCACAGATTTTGTTGGCTCTGATAAAGAGAAATTCCCTTGATCTAGGCTGCCTCGACCGAAGGAGCTACGTCCGAGGACTTGAGCATCACGATTTGGGAATATTGTGCGACCTTCTCAGTGATCTGGTATGTCAATTCGATGCCGAAACGACTATTTATGTTATCGACGGAGTATCAAAGTTCGACGTCGACCACAACAACATATTCCAAAGGTTTGAGGTGGCGATACGGCGGCTTGGAGACATCGTCAAAGACGACGAGTTGGGGCCCAGGCTGAAGATTCTCATGACCGTACCCTTCAGATCATCGGTAAGATTGAAGAACATCGTAGACACCAAGTTTCAACCGGCTTTACTTCAGCAACTTTTGGCTCCCAACAAACTGTCGATAGGTTCCATCGTGTCATCAATTTTGAGCCGGTCAACTTTGCAAAACGCAGCCACTACATCAAGCCTGCAGAACGACTTGCCAGAATGGGGCGGTGGAGATTACGATGACGAGTACATAGGAGACATGTACCATCTTATCCTGAAGTAATGGTAAAATCCTGCTGTAGCCGTAATAACATGCGGATTCAATGGATTGCTTCTATCATTCTCTTTTTGCAAGTGACTACCTTATAACCGAAGCCTGTCTGTATTGAGCCGATAGCATTCATCTTTTCCCAGCGTCCGTATGATCATATTCCATGTTGACCAGTCAAATTGGCACATACGACCATACCCATTGGAAAACTCGGGATCCCGTTCGCTCTCCCATAGATAAGCCAATGAGGGCCGGATTAGTAGTTGGGTCGGTGACGACCAGCGAATACCTGGTGTTGTATGTTCACTTTTGTCTTTTGACGTCACATTATCCGTTTGTGCCATTATTTTCATATCGTGTGGCGGAAGGGAGCATTTGTTGGCTTCTGCTTGGGTGCTGAAAAGTGCTGCCATCTATTCAGAACTCTGTCCCCGCAGCGTTTTGGAGTCTCGAAATGTTATGTGATATGGACAAGGGTGTTTTTGGATGGGATAAAGAATGGCTTTCTATTCTATATTGAATCTTAGTAATACACTGCACTTGACCACGGTTGCATGTGTAGCTCTCCTACATTTCAGCTTCTCCTTCCATTCATGGAAAACACTTTTCGATGATACCCCGTGGGCAGACATCAATGCGACATCCTACTGGATGCATCGAATGCCAGTATGGCCCAGTATCTTGAGCATCATGAATACCTAACCCATGCTGCCTCCCAATTGCCATATATGTACACGTAAGTCATCTCAGCTATTGGCAATCACGCCCAGGCGCCTCACAACGAGTTGCCTCTAAGCAGTCGCACCCGCATCCGCCACTGGCGCTGGCGCCGGCTCCTCCCCGCCACTTGGCTCTTCCAAAGCCAGGTCACTCTTCAGCTCTGGAAGGAAACGGTCGATTCGTTTCCAAGTCTCGTTCCATAGCTTCTCTTTGGAAGCGTCTTGTCTGGGAGAGACCAGGAAGCCGCTGCTTGCCATGAAAAGTACCACGTTTTTGAGGTTCTCGCGAACGGCCTCCTCCTGTGTACTGTTAGCAATTTCTTCTGCAAAGTTCAAGACTCTTGATGTCCACATACCAGACTGTCGCCTTGACCACTGTTCATCAAGCGATCCATGATGTCAATGATCTTGACCCAGAGATCCAGCATTCCGTCCCACTTGGACAGGAGCACGAGATATTGGAGGAACACTTTGCACAGCAGAGAAGCAGCCTGAACACGCATCTCGCTCATACCATCACGGTCTGACGAGAAGACTTCAGGCTTGAGAAGTTTGTGAATGAGAGGAAACAGGACCTCGCCAAAGATGGCCGTCCACTCCTTATGATCACTGTCAGTGAGCTCAGGCGATAGCAGAGATCGCTGCAGCGACGTGAACGCATGGAGGCGAACATCGCGGCATGGGTTTGTGCATTGTATTGTTAATGCCTGGAATATAGGCAGCCAGTAAGCGGACCATGCTGTGACATTGCGTTAGTCGTTATTATTCATTATTGCCGGCGGAGAGTATTACCTTCGTTGCTCTCGAGATGGGATTGCTTCATCAAGAAAGGTATACGCGCTGTCATATTGTAAATGCTGTTGACCGCTTTGGTACCTCGTGAGATAGCCTCATTGACACTGCCAGCCGTTAGTACCTTGCAATATGGCAAAGGCCTCATGAAATACTCACGTGGTCTTGTCATGCGTTCCCTCGCGGGCTTTACGCTGCTGGGCATCTAGCTTGCGTTCTGCGAGGACAATCCGTCCTGCCCCGGACGCAAAGTCGCCGAAGAGAGAGATAGCCGCCTCGTAGTTGTCGGCAATGATGGCCGGTGGTGTGCCTCCGCAACCTAACTCGAGGATGTCAAAAACGATAGGTGCAGAGTCTGGACGCCCGGTAAGTGCTCGCATAATGGCCCAGAAGTCTGGAGAAGTCATGATCTCGTTGCGTAGTGGACTGGGCTCGTCAATGCACAGTCTCAGGCCCTGAAGCACCATGGTCGAAGTTCTTGCAAGCGCCTCCTTTGGGAAGCTAGAGATTGTGTGCAACAACACCGGGACATTGATATAATCATGCGCCTGTAAACTAATTAACAAGAAGAAAAACACTGTCAGGGGCAGGAGTATGCGTACATAGCTGACTCGTAGTAGCTTGAGAAGATAGAAGGTTGCCCTTGAGACAACGATGTAGTGGTACCGTCCGGCATCTCGCAGCACGGCCTGCAGTGCTTCGATGACTCTCTTCGCTACAAGTTGGACTGTTTCCTGATCGCGAAGAGCCAGCACCGTGCTGAACTCAAGGATGTAGGCCATGGCAGGGTCGTACACAGCTCCTGGTTGCACAGGTTTCTGACCGTTCATCGTTGCTGCCGGCACATTGTCCGACTTGACAACTATCACCGTTGGGTTGTTATCTTCAGGTAGTGCGTTGAGGAGGGAGTCAATCAATGGCTCTAGGTCTTGAGGGGAGAGTTTTCTACGCGACCTGGATTAGCAGTTGCGCCCGTTCAGGAGCAGATCGACTTACGAGATGTTGGCAAAAACGTTGCCCATGTGACATGAGTTGACACAGTCGACGGTGCAGAGGGTACTTTCCAGTTCCTCGTCTGAAGGTTCTGGTGGATCGTCTGCTGCGTAGCTGGAAATGTAGCTAGTGAACGCAGAAAAGAAGCCCGTATCAACAGTCTTTGCAGCACGGTCGATAACTTGGGAGGGTGTGTGCAGCGGGATCGGGCCAATATCGAGGACCGGTGAATCCGCAAAGAAGGGGGGAACCAGGGAGTTGACGAAAAGGTTGAGCCAGATGCGGGTGATCTAAGGTTTGTTAGTTTTCTGCCATGATGATCTACAGGCCGATATTGACTTACATGTTTCCAACCATCCTGAATCAATTCTTCACTGCCAGTGACAACCCGGAATAGGACCAGAGTCGCTAGTTGCGCCCTGAAGTCTCTGCCAAGTTTCACTGCCAGTTCGCTGACCATGACACTGCTTTCGCCAGCCTGGACCTCCGTGTTCAGGTTCGTGTTGAAGGGGATATCAGTAGCCAACGTGGTCATGTGGCTCAGTGCGTAGATGATCTGATCGAGAGCCTCCGTGTTCTTGTACTCGGCCGCGATACGGGCGCATTCGTCAAACCCAGTAACGATTCTCGCAAAGACTGCATCGTCGGTAGCGGACATGAATACATACGCAAGAGTGGACACAATGGGCCGCCATGTTGAGGCAAACATGTCGGCATCATAGATGTTCGTCTCGCACAGAACCAGCGGACGCACCGATTCAGACTTGACGAGCAACTCGCGCCAAGCATAGTCGAACGCATGCTTGTTGTCATGCTCGTCAGGCAGGATGATCTCGTTGGTTCTAATGTTGTCAAAAATATCCTGAAGATACTCTGGCGCAAAGTTTTGGCCGTCATTGACACCCCGCAGGTTGCGCGCAAAGTCATCCACGGTCATACGTTTCTGACTCTTGAGGTTGGGATTGTGTTGATCGGTGTTGAGCATGATGATGGCATACGTCAAGACGTAGACAGCATCCGCGTTGGCGACCTCAGTTGGTTTCGCCTTCAAGACGTACTTGTCTGCGAAACAAACAACGATTCTCTCGATCAATGCCGACTCTCCTGGCAATCTGAATGTCTCCAATAGTCCTCTGAGCGCCTCATCCACCCGCTTCTCTGAAAAGTCGAAGTGGCTCATGAATGCCTCTAACACGGCCTCATTACCCTTTTTGGAAAGATACTCGCCGAGGACCTTCTTGGACACCCGCGATGTTCCCTTTAGGAACTTGGCGACCGCAACAGGATCTTTGAGGTCGGAGATGATTCCCTGGGCCTCGAGATATGCAAGGCCGCCCTTGGGATTCTCGTTGAACTTGCTGGTGCCCTTGATAATGATCTTCTTCTTCCGTCTCAACTCCCGTAGCTCCGTTGCGTCGGGATAGCCATCGACAACGGGCGCCTCGTCCAACCTTTCGGCGATGAACTGGATGTACCTGAGTAGTGCATCCAAGCAAAGTGGTGGCACACTTGTCGTGCTCCAGGTTGCGGAATCCGGCAAAGCATTTCTCGAGAGAAGGCCAATCATGTCTTCGCACAGGTCCGCTCGATCCGCGTCGCAATCATAATTGACAAAAAGTTCAGCCATGAATGTCGGCATTCTTGACAGCACACCAATGTTTTCAACCATGGCCTGTCGTGCGTCTGGTTTCCTGGCACCACCCTCGAGGCCGAGCTTTTGCCGATCCTTCACCGGAACTGGCGTCGAGCGGCCGCTGCTTGTCTGCGATGGGGGTGGCTTGACGAGCTTGGGGGATTGCGGTATCCCGGCGTAGAGTGATGGGTCAATGCCCGGTTCTCGCGGTATTTCTACCGACGGATGAAGGCACGCAACGAGATATGAGAGGAACAGCTCCTGCTGCAACTTCAACACACCGCGGCATGTGGCTAGTAACGTCCCGGCCACGATCAACGCCTCTTGTAGGATGGCCATGTTGTCAGACCTGACAAGCTGGAACAAATAGCAGCAGAGCCTGTCCTCGGCTATCCCAGCCAGAGCGGGATGCCGCGCAATGGAGGGACCGGAAACCTCGAGGGCAACGTGAATGATGCGCAATGCCATGACTCTCATAGTGTCTGTGTGCTGCCGGTCGTTGGGATCCAAAAAGTTGACCAGAACTCGGAAGAGTTCCCGCACAGAGGGGAGCGAGTACGGCCGGAGATCCAAAGAGTCGGAGCTTTCCGCGCCATCTGCATCACCATCGGCCTCCACATCGCCGCCAGCGCCAGCGTCGGCTTTGCTGTCTCCCGATTCTGAGCCTCCCCGAGAACGGGGATTCGGGTCCAGAGGGGTCGAGCTTGAGGTGGACAGGCGCGCATCCGGTTCAGGGCTTGTAACCTGTAGGCCTGGTGCAGTCGTTGCGGCTGGATCCATTTTGACACTATCCATGTCCGCGATTGTCTGCTTGTCGAGAGCGTCGGACTCGTCTCCGGCCTCAACCTCGAGGTGTTTGACGTCTTCAAAGATGATCTGGCACATTCGAACCATTGACGCCTCTGCTGTTCGTCGGAGAACGGGCGAA